TTTTGACTAGGCAAATAAGACGTCATAAGCGTTACGTATTGTTGTTAGGTGATTGAATCTTTAAGGATTCGCAGTCGAGAAGTCCAAGGAGGCGGACAATGATGTCCTAGTATGGCTCATCCTAAAGGAAGATTTACCCTGGGATCCCACAGATAAATTTAGCTGGTTGCTGGGGCATTACTGCCATTTCTGCAGGAAGCAGGATGATTTAACACTGATGCTTTAACTCAGCGGGACTGCTGGATAATTATGAAGTAATGATGTAGTCGTGTTCAACAGCATTGGACTGCATACTGACTGGTTGGAGAAACCGTTAATGTGTGAAGGTTGAGCTGCTGACCTATAGAGACATTGTGAAGTAAAAGTGTATATGATTAGATATGGAATCTAATTTTCATCAAGAGTGACTGTGAGGACATTAGGAGTGATTTGCTATTTGATAATGTCGGTGAGTTTCTTTGTATTTATTCATGTTCGCTTGCAATGTCAACACGGAACTTCTTCTTCTTCTTCTTCGCATTCGCTGGCTGTAAACTCTGGCAGAAAAGTTCTGGTTGTTCGCCCACTTCTGGACTCTAGTCCTGTTCTAAAGACTGAGTATTGTGTGTACATCCATAACAGGTCTGAGTTAATTGCATGCACACTGTTGGTTCCTTGGCTCTCAGACAGATGTACTCCGACTTCGAAGGAAAATCCCAATTAGTCGACTCTTACGACATGCTTTTGGGCAGGCAGTGGGTATATTCTTGTTTTCCCCACAATGGGGCCCCGGAACCCATACGGGGAAACACGGAACTCATAATACACCTTTGGGTACATGTTACTTCCTGGTGTTGTTCAGTCGGACAAATTAACACATTTGAAATGGATTTTTGCTGTTGTCTACAGTTTCAATTGCCTCTGTTAGACCTTGTCCATCTTTCAATGCGAAAATCATGCTGTACTGTTTTCCCTAGACTTTGCTTGATAAAATGAACTAATTTATTTTCAAGTTGTGTTGATTCATTGCCTTGAATTGTGATCATACCTCCACGCACTCATTATAACACCCCACCCCCCTCCCCTTTCCCCTTTTCCACATGTCACAGCCGTTACTAAGTTCCCGAGTCCATTCCTTCTTAAAAATAAATAGTCCAAATAAACACCAACTGTCTATCTATAATAAGTTTAATAACTTGTTCATCTGTCTCGATAATGATTTTTTTTTAACTCCATGTTTTTTTTTTCATTATTCTCAAACACACAAAAAACCACATGGTGGTTTTGTAAGCTGTGAAATCATGACAATTCTTGACATCTTAAAGAAGGTATTTGCCACTGCTTCCCTTCTTGACACTGAAAATACTGTTGGGATGACCATAGCCATTGTCACTGTAGTGTGATCCTCTAAGAATCCACATCATAGCACGCAGGACATTCCCATAAGCGTTCTGTCCCCATTTTCAGCAGCCAGCGCAGAGTTCTAGTTTCGATGTACCAGTAGCAGTCTGTCTGGCTCCTCCACTGAGTGTTGGGCATAACTTTTTGCCGCACCTATTATCTTCACACCATTTGTTCTTCAGGATCTATGTGTGCCTCCGCACTGTTTACTGGATCCCAAAAGGCCCCTACAACATCTAGCTTGTCATGAATTAATTTACCTCCTTTCTTCTTCTCGTTCACCAGCTGTACACTCTGGCGGAAAGTTCTGGTTGCTCGTCCACTACTGAACTGCAGTCCTGCTCCAGAACCTGAATGTTGCGTGTGCATCAGTTTTACAGATCCCATTCTCTTGAATACAGACTGTTGGTTCCTTGCCTCTCCGGCAGATTCACTCCGACTTCAAAGGAAGCTCCCCAATTAGTCGACTCTTACGACATGCTTTTGGGGAGGCAGTGGGTCTATTCTTGTTTTCCCCACAATGGGACCCGGAACCCACATGGGGGATTAATTTACCAACAGGTGGTGCAGAACCAACCAGTCTCTCTGCCTGTTTATTTCTCAACACACTGGCATGGAGAAAATATCTAAAGGACTCTAACTACCCGGGACCTCTGAAGCGATATCCAGTGCCTACCGTTGGGGACCTGGGACCATGACCAACAACTATTTGTCGGCTGCCCTCAAGCTTAGTCGATCACCTGATTCTATGGTTTCAGTGACACTGACAGGAACGCTGAACAGGTGTACACACTGTCAGTAAATCCATGGTTGTGCTGCCTGTTCTCGAGGTATGGTGTCAACAACGACTGATGACCCAACGATACGTAGTGTTCGGGATGATGAATTAACATTTGTTATTCTGTTTTATTAATATAAACACACAACAAACTAACATAAAAATAAATAACAAAAAATTTTAATATCTGCTCTTATAAAATCTCATCATCATCAAGTGTCTTACTGACTGGCGGTGGCGATCATGCCTCTCTACAAACTGCGATCCTCAACTGCATGTAATCAGTTCGTATGTTGACAACCCTACATAGTGAGACGAAAGGCTGTCAAGAATCGTCGCGCGTTGTCTTCCTCTGTCTCTCTTTCCACAGATCTTTTCAGTTGTCACAACATGTTCCAGTTTCCTTTTTCTCATAACATCACCGAAATGTGATGCTGTCTTTTTCTGCTACTTTTAACAAGTGTATATAAAATCATAATAGTGGGAAACTTTGAAAGCGACCTAGCAAACTAGGTAGGCAGTGATACAAATGGGAGGAAAACATCACGGAACAGACGAACAGCAGTTTCGGAGAGTGTACATCCAGTGTGAAAGATACAGCCTGGTGTGTGGACAAATAACTGATTTGAAAAAAAAAATTGGATTAACCGTGACGTCATGTAATTTCATTATTCCGTCTGTGACAAAGTGACCAAAACCACATTTAAATAAATAGTCAGCGGTAAGAAAAATTAGCTAGTTATTTGCTCTGTTTGTATTTATTGATAACTTCCCTTTGCATAAATGTACACCTTTTCTCGATTGAGACATTTCAAGACTGACATGTTTGTTTAGCAATGTATGACATCATTAGAGCTGGTCTAGGACTTCATTCCCCTGGATATTTCTGTTTTTTTAATGTGAGACTGACCTAGATTGAACATTATTTCTACTCCTTCTTCTGTTCTAGTTTTTTGTGTGGAGAATTTCAGAGAATTATTATAAACCGCATTATTATAAACCAAAATAAGAGGGCATTTAAAAAAAAATTGGATGGGCTTTTCTCAGCATACTTTAAATGGAGTTAAGTCTCTTGACTGATGCAAGTCAAAAATCTATTTAGTGGCTAAAATTTACTTTACTTTAATATAGCTGAAGAGGTCAGAATTGTTTCTCTGGCATGTTCAAAGGGTAGCATGTGGTTACAGTTACTGCCCTTGCTTGTCATGAAGTGGTCAAAGTTGAAATCCAGAGCAAAGGCAAGAGTATATTTGCTTTCCAGTGTTGCTTTTGAATCGACCCAGCTTCACAGAAATGGGCATTATTAAATTTTGTGGGATGGGAGTGTAGTAAGGATTGTTTTAACTGGTGTTACAACCTCATTGCATAGCATGTGTGAATATCATAACACCTTTGCACTTTTCCCTAGGTGAATGTTAAAAAAAAATTGGGTTTTGACGCATAGAGAATTCCCCCCATCTCCACCTCAGAAAATACTTTTAAACAAACCACAATTTTACACAGGTAACTTATAAAATGTTTGAAAATTAATTATCTACATTGTTAATATTTTTGATTTGAAATATATAAAGGGAGTAATCAATAAACAAGAACAGAAGCAAACATTAAATGGTATGTGTTTCTTGGGCCTAATACAAATATGTATCCAGTAACTCATCCCATGACCCTTGCCACTGAGGCTTCATGGAAAATGTGAATGAAGTTAACCTGACTTTAAAGGAAAAAAGCTATTGGATATACAAGATAACCTCTCTAAATGCTGTATCTGGTTAATATATTCACATTAGCGCAGTCAATAGGAGGCTGGCTTTCAAATCCAGCTGCGACTCGCTGCAGCCACGGTCGGTGTACGAAACCGGGCGGTTTCCAGGGTTTACCCAGCCTCTAGGAAATGGGTACCAGAGTGACACTCTGGGGTAAATTGAGGAACGTCGTTGTAGCTACAGAGTTACCTGCGAACGGCGACACAGACAGATAGTTTCTTATCAGCTGTCCGTACTGGTGGCAGAGCACTTATGGTTTACAACCGTGTGCAATGACGCTGGTTCACATCTCCTAAAAAACAAACATTCTTGACTCCAGTTGTAATCATCATCTGCATGTGCCGTGCCAAGGAAAGTGGCCAGCTTGGTTGGTGGACAGAGGAATCCAGTGTGCAGCTCTGACATTTATATAAACATGAACCCTAGATACTTGGCCAGCGTGTGGTGCATTCCCTGACAGCATACATCAGATTGTAGTAATGACAGCAAAGACTGTGTCAATCTGTAGATTGTCCTGATATATGTGGCAATCTGTACATTGTTGTAATATATGTGGCAATCTGTATATCGCCGTAATATCTGTCACAGTCTGTAGATTTTCCTGATATCTGTGGCAATCTGTAGATTGTCCTGATATCTGTGGCAGTCTGTAGATTGTCCTGATATCTATGGCAATCTGTAGATTGTCCTGATATCTGTGGCAGTCTGTAGATTGTCCTGATATCTGTGGCAATCTGTAGATTGTCCTGATATCTGTGGCAGTCTGTAGATTGTCCTGATATCTGTGGCAGTCTGTAGATTGTCCAAATATCTCTGGCAGTCTGTAGATTGTCCTGATATCTCTGGCAGTCTGTAGATTGTCCTGATATCTCTGGCAGTCTGTAGATTGTCCTGATATCTGTGGCAGTCTGTAGATTGTCCTGATATCTGTGGCAGTCTGTAGATTGTCCAAATATCTCTCGCAGTCTGTAGATTGTCTTAATATCTGTGGCAGTCTGTAGATTGTCCAAATATCTCTGGCAGTCTGTAGATTGTCTTAATCTCTGTGGAAAATCTGTACCAGGACCCTTGTGGATGTTCTACTGTATTTTACCGGTCACGGGAGGCAAGGACACGTAAGGCCAAAATCCTAAAAACATCTGAAAGTGGAACGAAACAAATGATACTAAATTAATAAAATGAACTCCATGCAAATATTTGTTTTTATTAACAAATTGCACTGTTGCGCTGTTGCAGAGAAAAAGGTGGCAGATTTATTTACTTGTCGTCGTCTTTTTTCGTCCGCCCTTAAAATGATGGTTGGCACGTTGTGTTCTTCACAGTTAGTCTGCGATATCTAAACCTTTTATCTCAATACATTATATTTCAACAGAGCCCTTTACGACATGCTTGTCGCCAGACAATGGGAAGGGCAGCACCACAAAGAAATGTCAGCCTCTTTATCATGTGTCCATAGAGAGAGAGTGGGGCTGTTCAAGGGACTTAATCATTATTTAAGTGTGCAATAATAATAAGTATTATTATTATGGCAAATAAATGTAAAAATGCACTCTATTTGAAATAATACGAAATGTACCAATTTTTCTTTCGTCCACATTCTACTTTGTGCCGCAGATTAGCTTGGTATCCGAACTAGGGCACGCTCGGTTCCCTGTGATGTTATGGAGTCTCACAATATCGCTGACTCATTCAACCCATCTTTTTATTTTTTTTAGTTGTCATATACCTCTTGATGTTTCTATTTTATTGTTGCACGCTCTCGTTGCTGGCCTTGTTGGATTTCGTCTAAATGGTCATATTATTTCAGTCTCTCTTGTTCAACTGATTTAATTACATGTGAGGTTGTTCCTCTTCCTTCTTCTCCTTCTCCTCCTTCTACTCCTTTTTCTTCTTTATCTTCTTCTTCTTCTTCATCCGTCATCTGTAAGCTCAGGCGAACAGTTCTGGTTGTTCGTCCATTTAAATTTTGGCTTTGTGTCAGGGCCTGAGCTTTGCGTGTACATCCGTTTTACTTGTTTATTGGTGTGCAGTTGTTTGTTCCTTGTTACTCTGGCAGATGTAGTCCGACTTCGAAGGGAGACCCCAACTAGTCAACTCTTGCGACATGCTTCTTTTGGAGGGGGCGGGTGGCGGGAGTATCAGTGAGACTTTCTTGTTTGCCCCACAAGGGGGCCCCAAAATCCACATGGGGAAGGTGTTATTCCTATAGTTCTTCGTTTTCCATATGATCTCTTCTATAAATCAACAACAACAACGAATCAAATAATTTAAAAGAGAACATGTGTACGCGTGGTTAGAGGGGCCAATTATCAACCTTGAAAACTTTCTAGAAGTTTGAGATTTAAGGTTTTAAACAACAGATCAACATCATGGCACACAGGTAGTAACCCGTAAGTGCTATGTTCTTCTTCTAACTCAAGTCTGAGACTGAAGAAGCTCAGCACAGAGCACAGGCTCTGTATCACCGGCGAGGATCCTGAAATAATTTAGTTAGATTTTTAACTTCAAATTTTGCCTTGGCAGCGCCACTAGGCAACTTTTTTGATTTCCTACTGCCAAGGGATTTTTTATTGCGCAACAATGCACACGGGCGTCAGATCTCACTACACAGAGACCGGGGGAATTACTAGAAGTCCAAGTCCACGTGGAAAAAAAAATCCCAGCCCTTAGCAGTGATGAACCCGAAACCTCTAGCACTCGAGGCGGACACAATACATCGAGACCACGCAGTCCCCTGCTCATCCCCACTAACAGTTACTGGGAGAGTAGAGCGGGATTTAAAAAAAAGGGGGGGGGGGGTGTGAGCCTGAGCTCACTTTTTCTGCCACGAGTGGATAGTGGATCTATTATTTATTTCCAAAATGAGACACGGGAGCCCATGTAGAAAGTCGAGGTTATAATAGCAGCCAAGGACTGGTACGGGTTAATGTTGAATGTTGTATTAAAAATGGACATCACAGCACTCGGGACACTCCCATTAGTCCCCATCTTCAGCAGCAAGTGAAGAGTTCAAGTCCTGATGGTATATCCGTCTCATACTTTCCCTGAGTGTTGAGCGTCTGCCAGATCCACTGGTAACTCCTCGCAGCGCCATTCTTCTTAGACCATACTCGCTCCCAAAGGGCCCTCACAATATCTAACTTGTCATACATCAGTTCGCCACCAAGTAGTGCAAAAACGAACCAGTTTGTCTCTCTGTTCGTTTCCTAACACACTAGCATCACCTGAAGATAATATCGTAAGGACCCTAACTACCCGGGACTTCTGAAGCGATACTTGTCACTCTGCGCAGAACCTATCTGTCCCCACTTTTCTCGACTGCCCTACTTCAGCTTCATCACAACGATATACCCAACGATATCGGACAGTCCTTGCATCCATGGTTGAATCTCCATAAACATTTTTCCTACGTTTGTGGATTGCGAATTGGTATCTCACCTTCAGCGATGAGAAATTCTGGATCATTGCTTTGTTTTAACTGAATGTCCCTGTAAGCCTTTTTTAAAGCATTACAGTGGCGCCATCTGTCACTGAGGTTGGCAAAGATATACAGTGCAGCAGAGTTTGAGGAATCCTGGTAAATTTATAAATTGCACACAGAAGCAGTATTTACATAGATTTTTTAAAAGATATGAGACATTACTTTTAACCGTCCTTCGTAGGATTTGTAAACCTACTCACCTTCAACTTGGGCTTTCTTTGTAGAAACACGTAACGCGTGTGCAGTCTAGACAATAATTAAAACAAACTTTGAGTATTTTCACTGATTTTCATTATTTCCTAACATATTATCATGAATACCTTAATATAGTATAATGATGACCTTAATATAGTATCAATATGACCTTAACATAGCATCACTACGACCGTAATATAGTATCATAATCACCTTAATATAGTATCATAATGACCATAATTTAGTTTCATGATGACCTTTATATAGTATCATGATGACCTTAATATAGTATCATTATGACCTTACTATAGCATCACTATGACCTTATTATAGTATCATAATCCCCTTAATATAGTTTAATGATGACTTTTATATAGTATCATGATGACCTTTATATAGTATCATAATCCCCTTAATATAGTTTAATGATGACTTTTATATAGTATCATGATGACCTTTATATAGTATCATAATCCCCTTAATATAGTTTAATGATGACTTTTATATAGTATCATGATGACCTTTATATAGTATCATAATCCCCTTAATATAGTTTAATGATGACTTTTATATAGTATCATGATGTCCTTTATATAGTATCATAATCCCCTTAATATAGTTTAATGATGACTTTTATATAGTATCATGATGACCTTTATATAGTATCATAATCCCCTTAATATAGTTTAATGATGACTTTTATATAGTATCATGATGACCTTTATATAGTATCATAATCCCTTAAATATAGTTTAATGATGACTTTTATATAGTATCATGATGACCTTTATATAGTATCATAATCCCCTTAATATAGTTTAATGATGACTTTTATATAGTATCATGATGACCTTTATATAGTATCATAATCCCCTTAATATAGTTTTAATGATGACTTTTATATAGTATCATGATGACCTTTATTTATAGTATCATAATCCCCTTAATATAGTTTTAATGATGACTTTTATATAGTATCATGATGACCTTTATATAGTATCATAATCCCCTTAATATAGTTTTAATGATGACTTTTATATAGTATCATGATGACCTTTATATAGTATCATAATCCCCTTAATATAGTTTAATGATGACTTTTATATAGTATCATGATGACCTTTATATAGTATCATAATCCCCTTAATATAGTTTAATGATGACCTTTATATAGTATCATGATGACCTTTATATAGTATCATAATGACCTTAATATGGTAGCTGTCGTGATGTAGCGGATGGGCGCTTGTCTACAGAACTGAAAATCGTGGATTTAGGTCCTGACGCAGTCGGACTTTTTTTTTTTTTTTTGAGAAATGACGGCTCCCAGCCTTAAATGGGTACCAGGTAAGGTCCTGGGAAGCAAAGGCGACCGATGTGACCACATCACCCACCAACTGATCTATAAAATATAGGTCTAGCCCTGCATACGTCTAAAGGCGTGGAAAAGGGCCCTTTTTTATTTTTAATACCCTAATATATTATCATCATTACCTTAATATATTATCAGTATTATCTTAATATATTATCATCATTATCATAATACAATATCATCATAACCTTAATATATTATCAGTATTATCCTAATATATTATCATCATTATCTTAATATCTCAACATCATTACCTTAATGTATCAACATCATTACTTTAATGTATTATCATCATTACCCTAATATATTTTCATCATTATCTTCAGATATTATCACCATTATCTTGATATTTTTTTTTTATATTAATATGTTTTTATCACTATCTTAATATTTTATCATTTCCTTTATATATTAACATCATTATCATAATATATTATCATCATTATCTTAAAATATTATCATCATTTTCTTTATATATTAACATCATTATCCTAATATATTATCATCACTATCTTAATATATTGTCATAATTATCTTCATATATTAACATCACTATCCTAATATATTATCAGCATTATCTTAATGTATCAAAACATTGCCTAAATATAGTATCATCATTATATTTATATATTATCATCACAATCTTAAGATATAACCATTATCCTCATATATTTTCATCATTAATATACTATCATCATTATCTTATTATATTATAATCATTATCCTCATATACTTTCATCGTTATCTTAATATATTATCATCACTGAGGGGCTCAAATATCTACCTCGCACCTCCCCACCCCCCCCCCCTCATTTTTGTTTTTAGTGGGGACGCTCTGAGCAATATTTTTTAGGAGGCTGGACCCACTTAATAATTCCCCCCCCCCTGCCCCCTCTCCCCCCCCCCCCCCCCCCCCGCCCACTTGAACATTTTATTGCTTCAAATTGCTTGTATTATTATGCTTATTTGCTATTTCGGACTTACAGCCATATGTTAAAACTGAATGCAAGTAGCAAGCAAGAATTCTTGATGACTAGCTAGTGTCATAAAATAAGGAGATGTTTATACTCACGTGAACAATATTCCCAAGTAAGCTCCAATACCCGTGAAGACATGCCACCAAGCATGACATTCAAAAAGCATGCCTGATGACTCTGCCAGTGTGTGCTTTCGCAGATATCTGCATATAACAAACCTTATGTAAGATTTTATTTAAACAAACAAATCAGCGTTCCAAGGAGACAATCTACATTCTACATTTTTGGATGACGTTATGTAATTCGTTTTTCAAATTTGTTCTGCAGACCTAGTGTAGTGAGACTATACAAACTATTGGTATTGTCTATCTTCTTATACGGATACAACATTTGAACTCTCAAAGTGGATTCAGGCTTTTAAACATAAATTTTATTGACGAATTTTACACATTAGCCATTTAGAATAAAGAACTAATATGTAGGAGACAAAACAGCAATCTGCAGGACATCAGGAGCCCCTCTTGGCAGTGGTGAAATGTCGCAAGCTAGCTTGGTTCGAGCACGTGGTGAGACGTGATTTGATTGAAAAGACTACAGTATACTTCAATGAACATTGGGGAGGCAGTCGAAGAAGAGAGGGTAAAAAAGAACCTAAATAACCACATCAAGGAATATATACTTCTAAATTATTATACATTTGTTCTACATGAGGAAGACAGGCAAAGATGGCTGGTTTTGTGTGCTAGTGCTTCTATGGATACACCTCCACGACCCTAACGGGTCAAGAGTTATGTTGTTTTACGAGGGGAAGTCACAAATGGTTGTTTAAAAAAAAAAAGTAAAGAAGCTAACAAATTGACGTTAATATTTTTAACATACACTGTACTTTTTTTTTCAAAATAATTTCCAAGAACAATGATGCACTTGTCCCATTGTTTTATCAGCCCTCCAAAACCTGCTTCATAGAACTGCGTGCTTTGTTTTCTAAATCATATTTCCACTTTACTTCTGATTCAGTCGCGAAATGTCTCCCGCAAAGGTGAGTTTTCAGTGGACCTAAAATGTCGAAATCGCTAGGCAGAATGACTAGGTCTGATTTCAAAAACAATCGTAGAACGTCCTTGAGAAAAATAGTTTTTTACCCAGCTATGCACTGCTTTACGGGATTAACATTTGTCAACATAAACAAGAAGCATTTCCTAATAAATGTCCTTTGCAGACAGACCCCCCCCCCCCCCCCCCCCCCACCCGGGCAAAAAAAAAACGCACAACAGCAAGTTATTCTTTGAGGGTACACTACATAAGTATAGCTGCGCTTTTGTTTCTGTGTTGCAAATGTGCATGCAACACCTAGCGCCACCTAACGAACGGAGACATAAAGTTCGATGTTGCTGTAACCTAGTGACACCTTTAGAAACCACCAACTACATTTTCCTCCCATCCCATAACTATTTGTGACTTACTTTTTGACTTCCCCTCATATGTTAACCCAAACTGTGGAGATGTCACATAAATATAAGTTTGTGCGTGGATGTGCTGAGAAAAATATCTTTCTTCAACTCAGAACAAAATAAACGGGTGTTTCAAGTGAAACATACCTTAACTGGTGACAATATACATTGTCAATGTTCCACAGCAGAAATCCCAGAAGGTAGCAGCCGAGACCACATAGAAACAGGTACTTATTGCAGTCCATTGTTCTAGGAGGATGTATAACATATCTAATTTTTTTTTTTTAAACGAAAGTTAAATGCATTCTAAAACAAAAGTCTGGGGAAAATGAAAAAAAAATTGGGATGAATTCAAAAGGGGCGAAGAAATAAGAAAAATGTCTGGGCAACCACTAGTATCAACAGTTATAAGACAGAAAAGAGGGCGCTACACTGGAGACATCCTGAGACTAAACCAGCACATAATCACCAAACAGGCATTAAAATGGGAAATAAAGGAATTGAGGAGGCGAAGACGTCCAAAGAAACCCTAAAAAAGGTTGGCGAGAGAGACCGAAGCTCCTAGAATGGATTATTTTCATGATGTTAAACGGATTGCAAGGAAAGAACAGGATCTAGAAATAGACTGCGAAACCTTCTTCTTTTTCTTCTTCTTCTTCTTCTTCTTCTTCTTCTTCTTCTTCTTCTTCTTCTTCTTCTTCTTCTTCTTCTTCTTTTTCTTCTTTTTCTTCTTCTTCTTCTTCTTCTTCTTCTTCTTCTTCTTCTTCTTCTTCTTCTTCTTCTTCTTCTTCTTCTTCTTCTTCTTCTTCTTCTTCTTCTTCTTCTTCTTCTTCTTCTTCTTCTTCTTCTTCTCCTCCTCCTCCTTTTTATTCTTCTCTACTTTCTTCTTTATCATCAGGGAAGGCTCGCTCATGGGCCACTCAAACATCCAAAACCTACAACAGATTGCAACAAACCGCCATGCATCTATAGTCATGACCTCTGCCCTATGTGCCGCACTCGACACAAGAGGAAAGACTAACTAACTAACTAACTTTCTTCTTCATCATCTTTTTAAATACAACATATCAAAGCAAAACTTATGGCCAAGAGAGACACTGAAGGAAGCCAAACCTTACGCGTTGCTAAGTGAACTACAAAAGACAGGCAAGTTCATACGAGAGACAGCACCGCAGATAAGGATAATTTATTTCAAGCGAAGGAAAGAAGAGGATAATCTGCTTATCCGTTGCGAGTCAGACTCGTAATCCAAAGTACCGCGATCGTAACCCACTGCTGGCTGCGTGGATTTGTATCTTGGTATGGGGCGTCGCAGGTCGACCCAGCCTAAAATGGGTACCAGGATGGATTTCCTGGGGAAGTAAAGACGGCCGGCGTAATGCTGACCACATCACCCACCTAATGCCGATGGTCTGTAAATATGGGTACTCTTCCCATATGCCCGATGCGCCCAAGGCGTAGAAAGGGATATTTACATACTTAATCTGCTTATCGTCTGCTGGTACAAAGACACTCGTGTAATTTATTTAGTCTAAGCTGCCATAACCTTTACTATCTACTGCAGCTAACACCATGACCTCCCCGCAACATTTACGTTTCGTATGTGTATGTGCGTCATGGATGTGTGGGTGGGTAGGTGTGATTGTGTCTTGGTGGATGGTATCATGTGTGAAGCGGTAAAGCTGCATGTGTTTTATGATTGAGTCCGTGTAATCTCTGTCCGTATCTCTGTGTGTGCACGCGGCTGTTAGCTTGTGTTCCTACAGACAAAGGGACCATTTTCTACACCTTCGGACGTATTGGGAATATAGGGCTAGATCTATATTTTATAGACCAATCGGCACTTGGTGGGTGATGTGGTCAGCATCAAGCCGGTCGCTTTTACTTCCCTAGTACGTTGCCATGGTACTCATTTTAGGCTGGGTTGACCTGGGAGCGAAGGTAATTTTTGAAAAAAAGTTCACGACTTTCCGATCTGTATTCGAGTGTCCAGCCAATACACCACGGCGGCTCTCTCCCACTCAGATCATTCTCAGTGCACACTGCACATTCTGAACCAATGTACACATTTCTAATAATGCATATTATTTTAGCTGGTATGGCATAGTGCAATTCTATGTAAGCTGCCTTCTTGAAATCAATACAATTCGGGCTGAGAGATTGTTGCTTCTCAGTGTGTTCTTCTAGTCTCAGGGTAATTATTTGATCCAGACAACGTCGAAAACCAGCCTGTTCTGTTCTCAAGGCTTTATCAACTGTCGCATTTATTCTATTGATCTATTTATTCTATCCTTTGCAAAAGGTTTTTGACATAACAGATAATAAGGTAATTCCTCTCCGATTATCGGTCGTTTAGATTACCTTTTTGGGGGATTTTCGCAGTTATTCCTTTCTTTCATTTTTTTTGGGACTGTTTCCTCTTCCCATATTTTGTTGAACAGTTCTAGCACTTCTTGGATAATTGTCTGATCCTGTCAGCATTTCTGCTGTAATATTACCATCACCTGCCGTCTTTTATTTGCAAGAGAAGCTAATACCTTTCTGATTTTCGTAACAAAAATCTGCCCCTCATGTATAAGGAGCGTGGTCTTTTTTGTTTGTTCTTGAAACTTTATTAAGTCTAAAATCCCCCGAAGAGTTCCTTGGCCCCGTTGTGGGGGGAAACAAGAAAAAAAAAAAAAAAAACACTGCCTTCCCACAAGCATGTCGTAATAGTCGACTAATTGGGAGCTCCCTTTGAAATCGGAATACATCTGCCAGAGAGGCAAGGATCCAACAGTCTGCATGCAAATAAGTCAGACGGATGTGCGCGCAATACTCAGGTTCTGGAACCGAACTAGATTCCAGAAGTGGACCAAAAATCAGAACTTTCCGCCGATGAACGCGAACAAGAAGAATAAAAAGATTAAGTCTAGTGGGTCAGACTTGTTTAAGGTCTCCTTGAAATGTTCTGCCCATCTTTTTCTCTGCTCTGCATCACATGTTAGCATTGTGCCATCCTTGCTTTGATTGGACCACCATGTGGTTTGAATGTCCCAGTTGTTGTTTTACTGTAGTGTAAAGTATTCTTCTAGTTCCAGCCTTGGCTAGCGGCTGGCGGAGCGGTTAGAACGTTAGGCTCTCAAACGGGGGACCCGGGTTCGAATCCTCGGTAAGGCTGGGAATTTTTAATGTTGGGGGCAAAATAAAATCCTCACCTGCACAGTCGTGGCGACAACACTAGCCATGCGGCCATAAATCCTTAGGCTCCAAGAACCCCCCCCCCCCACCCCCCTTTCCTTTGACTAAACCTCAGAACTGGTATAATAAAGGCAGTAATTGGCATTGGCCGTGACTACTTGTCCCCTTATTTAGCCAATTTATCAACATATGCTTTATTGTCTTTTCTTGAAACACTTTTGGGTTATCTTCCAAATAACGGTCCCAAATTGTCGAGGCCAAAAATATACCCTAACAGGGCCTCAGTCACATGTCCATTTTCAGACTTCCACCACCGCGTAGAGTTTGGATTGGGGCTAAACTACATGGCTGGGACTCACGAGCAAATAAAATGAAGGAAGCTGCAGGAGATGCGGTATCTGCTCGTGAGTCCCAGCCATGTAGTTTAGCCCCAATCCCCGCCACGCGTAGCGGCGTGGGAGATACCAATCGGCGGTGACGGTAGTCGCCGGAAGTTCGCAATTGACATGTGACTGAGGCTCTGTTAGGGTATATTTTTCGGCCTCGATAATTTGGGACCGTTATTCGGAAGATGTTGGCTCTGTAGCTCTGTCGATGAGAACGCTTCGTAATGCCGGGATGCCGGGTTCGATCCCAGCTGCGGGCCATGCGCCTTGCGTTGGTTTCGACAGTGGTATCAAGAAAGCCGACCGTCCAGAAAGCAATGGCAAATTACTGGACGTAAATTTGCCTAGAAAAACCACAGAACAGCCAAGGGCTGTTGGTTCTGCAACGTCCTGTGAGGGATACGCAACTAACCTATTCGGAAGATCGCCCACTTTTGTACTTCTTTCTCTTCCAATAGTCTTCTCTAGCTCTTATTTCCTCTAGTGTTGTTTTAGCGTTAGATATCGCAAGTTTTGCTGCCTTTCTACATGAGTATAAGCTCAATTTCATATTATTTCAATCACGTATTTATTTGCAATTAACCATATAATAATTAGTATTATAATCGCCTACTTAAATAAGGCTTACGTCCCTTGATTCTCGCTCCAGTTTATAAATGGGATAGATAAGCCTGGCTCTCCCCTCCACCCTCGGTGATTACTTTACAGTGACGTCCCTGTGACATATGGCTTAAACAAACACAAATGAGACGAACACACTTACAGCACCATTCTGATATGTAACAATATCACCAACGTGTTCATTACACCGTAGGCTATCTGCAACATAGTCAACAGTAGTTGGAAATTGTTAGAGAGAATGCCATTGTAACGTCATAATTTAACATTCAGTTCTGGGTACTTTACTTTCGATTCAGTCCAAACAAAGGAAATCCAAAAATTCACGAGATATTTTAGGAGTGATGGGTTTGGAGTTATGGTTAGGGTTCGCTAGAAATGGTGGTGCTGGAGTGTACATAGAATTCCCAGATGGTACTAGGGATAAGTCCAGCATACCAACCGGAAAGTACTGCCATAACTGTGATGCAGAAACTCAGGCTATCAAGATAGCAACAGAGAAACTGCTAAATACCAATCTTGGCTCCCAGTATGTAGTAATGCTGACAGATGCAAAATCAGTACTTGAAGCACTTCAGTCTAGGAAACTACCAGAATTACAAACACTGCTGACACAACTTAGCCTTCAGCAAAGAGTTTTAATGCAGTGGATACCATCATATTGTGGAGTGCCTGGAAATGAGAAAGCTGATCAACTGGCAGGAGAAGGTGCAACACAAGTGCAGCCGGATGTACCAGTCACATACCACCAAAAGAAAAGAATAATTAAATCAATCAGGAAACCACCAGCCCCAGCACAAGACGACTATTTTATTATGGACAGATCAGAACAAGTCATTATCCTCCGCCTCAGAACAGGACACAACCGATTACGTAACCACATGTACACAAAATTCAAGATAGGCGTATCAGCCATGTGCACCTGTGGAAATGTACCCCAGACAGCAGAGCATGTACTCTAGGACTGCACCGAATTTGACACATTAAGGCAAACATTTTGGCCAGAAAGAACAACAGTGGAACGTAAACTCTATGGACCACTAAATGAATTAACAACAACAGTGAAATTTATACAAGAGACAAAATTGTTGATATAGACAACTTATTTCAGGCTAACGAAAGAAGAAGAGAAAGAAGGGTTTGTGGGTGTCTCTGACAAAGGTCCTAACCCTAACCCATAACACCCCTAGAATATTGCACTTTTCCGGGAACTCCGGGATTTCTTTTTCGGGGTGAGTTGAAAATAAAGTTTTGAAAGGGCACGTTATTTTGTGGTTCACAGCTAGGATGCTATATCACTGCCTTTTGGTCAGTTAGTCAGTAGCATGTCCTTTGCAGAACCTTGCACCCGTAACAACCCTCCGGAAAACTTCTCCATCATAAGCAAGATGTCCCGCGTCCGATACACCTATCTGGAGATCATCGCCACATCGTGCACCTACCTTCTCTTTGGCCATCCTCTTCCTCTCTTTCCCGCATATACTCTGAATGAGAAAGGAACCTATCAGACAGTAGGAATAACACTGTGCAGCAGAAAATAAAATGATTTGTAAACCACAAATTATTGTTCTCTCTTTCGCGAAGTTTCAAGTTAACTCGAAATATTTAAATTTCCTGTGTTTTATCTCCTTTAATTTCTATCATGGCTGTTATGGGTTGGTAGCTGTTGTGACTGCATTCTAATGAGATGACCAAATCATTTGATTTTCTGCGGCACAGTGTTCTTTCCACAGTCCACAGTTGGCGGGCTTTCATCTGGCATCTCAACTCACATGTGCAGGCCAGCCTTTCATAATGCATGGGGGTTCATGGCAAAGGTGAATGGAAGTCGCTTAGTGCAACAAAGCCTGGCGTATGCTATCACAACTTCTAGTTTGAGAATGGAGGTGGAGGCAGTCACTGCTGCATTCCGCTGGCTTGAGAATCAGTTGTACACATAAGCCGTCATTGTAACTGACTCACAGAGCATGCTAAAAAAGGTGGAGACAAGCATGCTCCGTGCAGAGTGGCAAGCATCATTTCAAAGATCCCGGGTAGTTAGCATTCTTTAGATATTTTCTCCATGTCATGCCGGTGTATTGGGAAATGAGCAGGCAGATAGACTACCGGCTCTGCACCACTTGGTGGTGAACTGATGTATGACAAACTGGATGTTGTGAGGGCCCTTTGGGGAGCGAGTGGACAGTGCCAAGGCACAGACAGATCATTACGGTCTAAAGAAAAAAAGCACTTAGGGAAAAGGCGAGACGGATATACAATCAGACAGTTACTGGTACCATCTGAATTTCAACTCTTCGCTTGCTGCTGAAAATGGGGACGGAGCGCTTATGGTGGTGTCCGGACGCTATGATGTCGATTCTTAATTCAACATTCAATATTTTTGATAATGTCCAAAATTGCCACTGGTAGCACAGTGTTGGTATAAATATAATGTTTATAATCTGTTTCTCAAGCGGCATGAAGATGATTACATGTCTAAATATCAATATCCGTTGGTATATAAGTACACTTTGCCCTTTCGAATCTTGTTTTCATTTTTTAATCTGTTTCTTCATCCTCCCGTTCACAGGCTGTAAACTCTGGTGGAAATTTATGGCTGTTCGTCCACTTGTAGACTTTAGTCTTGCTCTAGAACCTGGATGTCCCGTGCAAATCCTTATACAGATCTGACTCACCTGTATGCAGACTGTTAATCCGAAGCCTCTCAGGCAGAGGCACTCAGACTTCGAAAGAAACTCCTAATTAGTCGGAAACCTCTAATCAGTCGACTCATACGACATGCTTGTTAGGGAGGTAGTGGGGCTATTCTAACCCCCCCCCCCCCTTTTTTCCAAAAGTAGTACCCGGGAACTCACACAGGAAATTTTCTAAAATATTCTGTAGTGTTCAGAATTATTATTAGCCATGGTCTTAATTCACTATAAGAGGTTTGTGATTTGAAGTCTGAACAACTGATCAACATCATGGCACACGGGTTGTAACCCATAAGTCTAAAATGTTCGACTGTCCTGTGACGTCATCTGGGGTAGGATATTAATAAAGCACCGAAAATTGTAAACTGGGTGAGAGAAATCAGACGTAGACATTTGATGGCTTTAGAAAGGTCATGAGACGGAATGCATTCGATAATTTTGTGACAACCGCTAAGACTGACGGGGAAAGGGCAAGATGAAGACACACAAATAAATGGTTGACTTGGTCATACGTCAGCGTCTGTGGCTTAGGCGATGCGAGCGCGCTTCGTAATTCTGGGGTGCCGGGTTCCATCCCAGCTGCGGGCCTTGAGCCTTGCGTTGGTTTCGACAGTGGTATCGAGAAGCTGACCGTCCAGAAAGCAATGGCAAACTACTGGACGTAAATTTGCCTAAAAAACCACAATAGCCAAAAAATGCTGGGGTTGGTTCTGCAACGTCCTGTAAAGGATACGCAACTAACTTTTAAACTTGGTCATGCAGCTGATGCTACACAAGCGCACAAGCCAGGTATGTGGTTCTGGCGATCGTGTGCCATCGAGAAACATGACAGTTTATTCAAAGGTGGCATGATGATGGTGAGCCCTCGGAGAATATCATCATCATGTGCCCTGCCAACTGACGTAGGCGCTCATGCCACAGATCACGATCTTTGGTTGCCTGGAACAGCTCTCTTGATGATATCCCACCATGCCATCGTTTCAGCCCATTTAACATCATCTCTCCTGGTCTGCCTCTACCCCTTTTTGATCGTTTTACTGATCTTTCCAGTTGTCACGATATTCTCCACTGTCTCTCAACTCATTATGTGGCCAAAGAACAGTGTTTGTCTCTTTCTCATTCAGAAAATATACGTATCAATAATAATGAAACAGGCGGGTACGTACCTGTAAAAACAGGGGTACCTCAATCAGAACGTAAACCTGAAATAACAAATAAGTGTGCAGATGGGATGTGTATGTTTTGTGGGTCAGGATTCCCAGCATCAAGATAATTTTGTTATGGCATTCAAGTGAACACACGTCTCGCAGTCAATTGCCCCATTCCATGGTAGATCCTGTGAAATCCTTCAGTTATCACACGTGGAATACGGTGCAGCATCTCTCTCTCTCTCTCTCTCTCTCTCTCTCTCTCTCTCTCTCTCTCTCTCTCTCTCTCTCTCTCTCTCTCTCTCAAAGTTCAAAGTTGATGAAAATAAAGTTCTTTCCTTCGTTCACTGCTAGTATGTCTGTGTATCTCTCTCTTTATGCGTATGTTTTGTCCTGGATGTGTGTCTCTGTGTGTGTATTTTCCCCTCTCTCTGTGTTTCCTTCTCTCTCTCTCTCTCACTCTCTCTCTCTCTCTCTCTCTCTCTCTCTCTCTCTCTCTCTCTCTCTCTCTCTCTCTCTCTCTCTCTTTACGAGTGTATGTTGTGGCGACCCTTTAATACAGTTCCTAGTGTTGTCGCGACCCTTTAATACAGTACTTCATTTTGTAACGACCCTTTAATACATTACCTCATGTTGTGGCGACCCTCTAATACAGTTCCTCGTGTTGTGGCAACCCTTTAGTACAGTTCCTCATTTTGTGGCGACCCTTTAATACAGTTCCTCATGTTGCGGCTACCCTCTAATACAGTTCCTCATTTTGTGGCGACCCTTTAATACAGTTCCTCATGTTGCGGCGACCCTCTAATACAGTTCCTCATTTTGTGGCGACCCTTTAATACAGTTCCTCATGTTGCGGCGACCCTCTAATACAGTTCCTCATTTTGTGGCGACCCTTTAATACAGTTCCTCATGTTGTGGCGACCCTTTAATACAGTTCCTCATGTTGTGGCGACCCTTTAATACAGTTCCTCATTTTGTGGCGACCCTTTAATACAGTTCCTCATGTTGTGGCGACCCTTTAATACAGTTCCTCATTTTGTGGCGACCCTTTAATACAGTTCCTCATGTTGTGGCGACCCTTTAATACAGTTCCTCATTTTGTGGCGACCCTTTAATACAGTTCCTCATGTTGCGGCGACCCTCTAATACAGTTCCTCATTTTGTGGCGACCCTTTAATACAGTTCCTCATGTTGCGGCGACCCTCTAATACAGTTCCTCATTTTGTGGCGACCCTTTAATACAGTTCCTCATGTTGTGGCGACCCTTTAATACAGTTCCTCATTTTGTGGCAACCCTTCAATACAGTTCCTCATGTTGTGGCAACCCTTCAATACAGTTCCTCATGTTGTGGCGACCACCAACCATACAATTATTTTCGTTGCCACTTCATAACTTCAATCAATCGGGGTTTTCCGATGGTCTTAGGCGACCGTTGTGATTAGGGTCGTCCAACCACAAAAGGGTCGCCACCCACAGGTTGAGAACAGCTGGTTTACGGTCTAACGCTCAGTGGATAAAACCGTATTGCCATTTCCTAAGGAAGTATGTTTTTCATGTCATCAGTCCCTATTTACTTTGAGTGTCCTCTTGAATTCATATAAGATATTTTTTATAGGTATAGAGCCTGTGTTGCTAGTTTTTGTAGCTGCATGACCGAACTATCTCATCTCCTGCTTCTCAATTAATTTAGTGAAACGTTATTCCTACCATCTGTTTGATAGTCTAATGTCTTAGGCTTTCTCGTATGATTAAGCTTTCCGCGGGAGAAAAAAAAAATAAAGGTCCATTTTCCACGCCTTTAGGCGTATGGGGCATTTGGGCTAGACCTATATTTTTATAGAGCAATCGGCACAAGATTGGGGATGTGGTCAGCATCACGCCGACTGCCTGTACTTACCGGGACTGCACCTGTACCCACTAAAGCCTGGGTCGACCTGGGAATCAAGGTCATTTTTTAAAAAAGTCCGACTCCGCCAGGGAGCGAACCCACGACTTTCCGATCCGCACGTCAGCGTCTAGCCGCTACACCACGGCGACTCCTTCCTTGGGTACCTCATCTTAAATATCGTCATTTAAAGAAACATATTTGCCTGCTTCTTCTTCTCAAAGTCCGTGCTGTGTGGCGTTGGTAGTCATGTCTATCCACAACCTTCTGTCTCCTGTATTCTTCTCAAAGTCCATGCTGTGGGACGTTGGTAGTCAAGTCTATCCACAACCTTCTGTCTCCTGTATTCTTCTTAAAGTCCATGCTGTGTGACGTTGGTAGTCAAGTCTATCCACAACCTTCTGTCTCCTGTATTCTTCTCAAAGTCCATGCTGTGTGACGTTGGTAGTCAAGTCTATCCACAACCTTCTGTCTCCTGTATTCTTCTTAAAGTCCATGCTGTGTGACGTTGGTAGTCAAGTCTATCCACAACCTTCTGTCTCCTGTATTCTTCTCAAAGTCCATGCTGTGTGACGTTGGTAGTCAAGTCTATCCACAACCTTCTGTCTCCTGTATTCTTCTCAAAGTCCATGCTGTGTGACGTTGGTAGTCAAGTCTATCCACAACCTTCTGTCTCCTGTATTCTTCTTAAGTCCATGCTGTGTGATGTTGGTAGTCATGTCTATCCACAACCTTCTGTCGCGTGTACTTTCAACAGGTGATCCTCCATGTCATGATGTCAAACTGTCCTACCTCTTTCCTCTCGGTCTCCCTCTGCCTCTCCTCCCCTCCAACTTTCATACTGTCACGATGTAGTCCAGTTCTCTCCTTCTGATCACAAGATCAAAGAATGTAGATTGTCTCTTTTTTATGAGGGCACTTAGTTTTCTTTGTGATTCAGTTTCTTTCAAGACATCCTCATTACTCTTTTTACTTGTCTACGTCATTCTCATCATCATTCTATAATTTAAAAAAACATCTCCGCATCTTCAAAACATTTTTTTTTACTAATCTAACAACTGTCCATGATTTACTTCCATACATCTTCTTCTTCTTCTTCTTCTTCTTCGTGTTTACCAGCTGTAAAATCTGGTGAAAAGTTCTGGTTGTTCATTCACTTTTTGACTGCAGTCCTGTTCCAGAACCTGAGTTTGCGTGTGCATCCGTTTTACAGATCTAACTCATTTGTATGCAGAATGCTGGTTCCTTGCCTCTCAGGCAGATGCACACTGACTTCGAAGGCAGATCCCAATTAGTTGACTCTCACGACATGCTTTTGGGTAGACAGTGGGTCTATTCTTCCCCCACCCTCCCCCCCCCCTATAATAGGGCCCCGGAACCCACACGGGGGACTTCCATATATTAAGACAGGCTATTAGGAATTCTCTTTCTCGCCTCAAATGACAAAGATAGATTAAATACAAGTAAAAACAGGAAAGGTTCACAAACGTTCTTACCACAGTGATAGCTAGGCTGCCAAGAAACAGGCTGGCTTGTAGAATGATGTTGTCTGTGTTGGATTTGCTTGTCATCATCAAGCTGGCAGATGTTCACAAATAAACCAGAATTATTTTTTTTTTTTCAATGGAAACCTTTGTATAGACGGACTGTTTCGTACATGCAAGTTTAAAAGAATATCTCCTGATTCCTTCAAATATCATACACTTCCTCCTGCCTTTTTCTTCTTCTTTTTCTTCTTCTTATTCTTCCTCATCGTCTTCTTCTTCTTCTATTTCGTCTTCTGCTTCTTTTTCTTCTTCTTCTTCTTCTTCTTTTTCTCCTTCTTCTGTTTCTTCTTCTCCTCCTCCTCCTTCTCCTCCTCCATCTTCTCTTTTTAATCCGTTTCCTCTAGTACTATTTCACCTACTTTATGAACATCGTGATCAACATCTTCTTTTTCTTCTTCTTTTTCTTCCTCATCGTCTTCTTCTTCTTCTTTTTCGTCTTCTGCTTCTTTTTCTTCTTCTTCTTCTTCTTCTTTTTCTCCTTCTTCTGTTTCTTCTTCTCCTCCTTCTCCTCCTCCATCTTCTCTTTTTAATCTGTTTCCTCTAGTACTATTTCACCTACTTTATGAACATCGTGATCAACATCTTCTTTTTCTTCTTCTCTTTCTTCCTCATCGTCTTCTTCTTCTTCTTTTTCGTCTTCTGCTTTTTTCTTCTTCTTCTTCTTCTTCTTTTTCTCCTTCTTCTGTTTCTTCTTCTCCTCCTCCTCCTTCTCCTCCTCCATCTTCTCTTCTTAATCTGTTTCCTCTAGTACTATTTCACCTACTTTATGAACATCGTGATCAACATCAGCATGATCTTCATTAACTACTAATTATTTTTATTCTTTCTCATCCTCTTATTCGTCTTATTATTAATATTATTATTATCATCATCAACTATTTATTACATTTTTCCCTTTCTCTCCCCTTTCTCTTCTTAATATTATCATTATTTTTCATTATCATTATTATTTGATCCTTTTGTCAGGAAAAAAAACGTATATAAGAATGTGATAACCTTGATAAGTACTGCGCAGTTCAAATCTCTCATGTGTGAATGTGATGGCAACTATCGTGCAGTTTAAACACCCCATGTGTGAGTGTGATAACAGCTATCGTACAGTTTAAATCTCTTGTCTCAATGTGATGACAACTATCGTACAGTTTAAATCTCTTGTCTCAATGTGATGACAGCTATCGTACAGTTTAAATCTCTTGTCTCAATGTGATGACAACTATCGTACCGTTTAAATCTCTTGTCTCAATGTGATGACAACTATCGTACCGTTTAAATCTCCCAAGTGTACAATACAGCTTTGTCTTCTTTGAGATTGGAACAGGCCAGACTGCTTTTCTCTCTTGTCAGCTTTCTTCTCGAGCATTGTACCCATGTGAGATGCAATATTTTTAGTTAGTTTGAAACACAATCCTGGCTTTTTCCGGGGGCCCTGAATATAGCCGGGCTCTAAATATGGCTTAACGGCTGAACGGGGTTCCGGGACTCTCCACGGTTGATCCTCATCCACGTGGTAGCACTTTGTGTCACCGGGTGTTTATTGCTTGTGTGATATCCTGTTCGGGTACAATTACCTACCTACCTAGCCTACTTCTTCTTTTTCTTTGTTCACCGGCTGTAATATCCGGTGGAAAGTCCTGGTTGTTCGTCCACTTGGACTTTGGCTTTATGCCAGGGTCTGAGTTTTTATGTCCATGCTACTGGCTTATTTGTGTGCAGTTGGTTGTTCCTTGCCGCTCAGGCAGATGCACTAAGACTTCAAAGTAGGCTCCTAAATAGTCGACTCCTGCGACTTGCTTATTGTGGAGACGTTGGGTCTTTTCTTGTTTTATCCAAAAAAGGGACCCGGAACCCATACGGGTATAGCAGCTTACACCTGGGAATGTTCATGTCATTTGGTTACCATGTTCGTTCATGTCTCTTGCTTGTTGGGAAGGCAGTGGGTCTGTTGCAGCTTTCACCTGGGAATGTTCATGGCATTTGGTTACCATGTTTATGTCGCTTGCTTGTACTTACCACGAGTAAAGGAAGCTTGCGTTGGCCCACACCATCGGCAACTCATCCATCAGCTGCAACCAGAAATGATCAAAACATCCTCATAATGAAAATGTGACTGCTGACAAGGGCATTTTCTTCATTTTCTTCTTCTTCTTCTTCTTCTTCTTCTTCTTCTTCTTCTTCTTCTTCTTCTTCTTCTTCTTCTTCTTCTTCTTCTTCTTCTTCTTCTTCTTTTTCTTCTTCCTCTTCTTCTTCTTCTTCTTCTTTTTCTTCTTTTTTTTCTTCTCCTTCTTCTTCTTCTTCTTCTTCTCCTTCTTCTTCTTCTTCTTCTTCTTCTTCTTCTTCTTCTTCTTCTTCTTCTTCTTCTTCTTCTTCTTCTTCTTCTTCTTCTTTCTTTTTCTTTTTCTTCTTCTTCTTCTTCTTCTTCTTCTTCTTCTTCTTCTTCTTCTTCTTCTTCTTCTTCTTCTTCTTCTTCTTCTTCTTCTTCTTCTTTTTCTTCTTCTTCTTTTCCTCCCCTTCTTCTTTTTTTTTCTTCTTCTCCTCCTTCTCCTCTCTCCTCCTTCTACTTCTCCTCCTCTTTTTTCTCCTTCTCTATCTCCTCCTCCTTCTTAATCTATTTTTTTTCTACTTCTTCCTCTTCTTCTTCTGTTTCTTCTTTTTCTTCTTCTTTTTATGATTATTATTATTATTACTATTATTGTTATTATTATTTTCGTTTACTGGAAATGAACTCCAGCCAAAACGTCCTGGCTGCGAGTTCATGTCATAAGGTAGACTACCAATAATTGTGTATACCAGTGGTTCTCAACCTGTGCGCAAGCAGAGGCCCGTGGGCTCCACGTACACTTTCCAAGGGTTCCATGGCCACTCCATGAAAATATATAAATATCTATTTCCTCTTACTCAACATTCGTAGAGCATTTGAAGCAGCATTACTTCCAAACACAGTTACATTAATGGGCCCGCTTGGCACTTGCTTTGACCCCTAACGAGCATAGGGGCGACCCAAGCTAGGCTGTGTATGTCATATGACCATTTACCTTTAATCTCTGTCAGTGGATATCGTAGGGGCCTCAGCACACGGGTTTCAAATGGGGTCCATAATGCCGTTAAGGCAGCTCGCCAGAAACGTTTAAGTGTTTGGGGCATCAAAATGCCAATGTGGTTTTGGGTCTATCGTGAGATTACTCCCTTTGCAGATTTGAACCGAGAACATTCGGGCTGGCAGGCAAGCGTTAGGTCACTGAATATACCATTGCTTCCTATTATTAACCAACAAGATACAAGAAACATTCAATTCAAACAATGCAGTAACGAGTAAGGCAAACTTTTCATTTAGAAGCCAGCCAGCGCCCCCTTCCTTGCCAAACTAAACTACGCCCCTGACGTTTGTCTACTTACTTGCATATTGTACTTCAGCGTCATATGAAAAAACACAGATCCAATGCCAACAACTGTAATAACAAGTACAATACCCTTAGCTGGATGTTTTATTGCACTTCGAAGTTAAATTACAAAGGGGGCTGCAAAGTGATTGCAGGCGAAACAGTAGCCCCAGTAGCGACAAAAGTACCAGTAGTAACAGCAGCAGCAGAAGCAGCGACGGAAGTAGCAGTAGCAGTAGTAATAGTAATAGCAGTACCAGTAGTAGCAGCAATAACAGCAGGATTAGTAGTAGTAGTAGCAGCAGCAGTAGTAGTAGTAGTAGACAAAGGAGCAGAAGATGATGAAGGGTTTTCACCGGTACATTGATCATTAAAAAAACGGATGGCAGAACGCTGCTATTTTTTTTTTTTTTGGCTGCATGTCAAAAGTGAGGCAGCCCTTTTTAACCTGTCATTCTGACGTCACTGTGTTTACCTACACCGTCATGTCAGACGCTATTAAACACACTGGACCTCCTTAAAAACAATACTGACAGTTTACAAGAGAATGGTATGGCTACTGTAATTTCGATTACACTGTAAGGTTTTCATTTGACGTCAACTAAGGGTCAAAGGCCGTCAACCAGTTAGTGGTAACATAGGGAAAAAGGGAGGGGGTGCTGTAAAGAAACACAAAACATTCATGGATTTGATGAATGGTAGTGGTGCATTGGGCATTTTGTGCTAGACATATTTTTTAAAGACCAGTCGGCACTCGATGAGTGGTGTGGTGAAAATGCCACGCCGGGTTTACTGTGCTGCTAGTGAACTAAAATAAAATTCAAAAGCAAAATTTCACCAGATAAACAAACAAGCGAAAGTGAACTGAATAAAAGCTTATAATGAAGTGAAGCCTGGATTTTTAATTTTCCTGTTAAAAACGAGCCATTGCTCACTACAGAGTGTCTAAAAGCTGCAAATACTCACCGCAAAGTGCTATTACAATTACAATAAAAACAATTATGCTGGTAATGTGTTCCGTGTTTGAGAAAAAATGTAGGAGTGACCAGAAGAGTTAAAATCAGGAATCAGGTCATACCAGATAAAGTTGGCACAGAACCAATTCTAAATTACATACAAAGACAGCTAATCAAATGGTTTGCCCACTTTGGAGAGAATGCCTTCTGATGCTATACCATACTAGGCATATTCAAAAAGAGGAAAGGGCGTAGTAAAAAGGCAGACCGAAAAAAAGATGGGAAGACAACATCGAAGAAACTCTACAGCACCACGATGTGTCTATAGTCGAAGCAGCCAGAAAAGCACGAAGCAGGACCTTATATCTCCCCCGACACCCGAAGCGGTAAAAGAGGACGTAAAGAAAAAGAGGACTGCGTTGCGTTGATTACCGCCGGGGGGAATGGGGGAACAACAGTCCTTGTGGGAATTCATCATATACAAGACAAAGGTATGAGGTTTAAAGAACGGATCAACATCATGGCACACGGGATAGTAATCCATAAGTGCTCCGTTCTTCTTTTAACTAGTCTGAGTCCGAGAAAGCTAAGCACAGTGCACAGGCTTTGTAGTACCGGCGAGGATCCTTAAATACTTTGGGTAGATTTAAACTCCAAATTTTGCCCGGGCAGCACCGTTAGGCTACTCTTTTCGATTTCCAACAACCAAAGGATTTTTTACGTGCGCAACAATGCACACCGGCGTACGATCTCGCTACCCAGAGACCAGGGGGAATTATTAGAAGTCCAAAACCACGTGAAAAAATCCCAGCCCTTACTGGGGATTGAACCCGGAACCTCTAACACTCGAGACGGACACCATGTCTTGAAGATGGCGATATTTTGGGCACATCCTTGGAAAAACTGCACAAACAATCACCAAACATAGACTTACATGGGAGATACGTGGACAGAGAAGGCGAGACCCACCTAAAAAAAAAACCTAATACAAACGATGAAGGCTCTCTAACCGCAACGTTCACCTGGTGTTTGTTTTTGTAATACTGTGAAGCTCACTGGTACTAATAAAACTGAAGTAATGCAGGTTAGTAGAATTCCTAGTCCGCTACATTTTGGTTTGAATGGTTCTTGTCTGATGCAAATTAGATAAATTAAATATTTTGGAAGTATATTCTCGGAGGACAGATGAATAGATCGGGAGATAGAAACAAGATGTCATGATCAAAAGATAGAAACAAGATGTCATGATCGGGAGATAGAAACAAGATGTCATGATCGGGAGATAGAAACAAGATGTCATGATCGGGAGATAGAAACAAGATGTCATGATCGGGAGATAGAAACAAGATGTCATGATCGGGAGATAGAAACAAGATGTCATGATCGGGAGATAGAAACAAGAGTCATGATCGGAAGATAGAAACAAGATGTCATGATCGGGAGATAGAAACAAGATGTCATGATCGGGAGATAGAAACAAGATGTCATGATCGGGAGATAGAAACAAGATGTCATGATCGGGAGATAGAAACAAGATGTCATGATCGGGAGATAGAAACAAGATGTCATGTTCGGGAGATAGAAACAAGATGTCATGATCTGGAGACAGAAACAAGATGTCATGATCGGGAGATAGAAACAATATGTCATGATCGGGAGACAGAAACAATATGTCATGATCGGGAGACAGAAACAATATGTCATGATCGGGAGATAGAAACAAGATGTCATGATCGGGAGATAGAAACAAGATGTCATGATCGGGAGATAGAAACAAGATGTCATGATCGGGAGATAGAAACAAGATGTCATGATCGGGAGATAGAAACAAGATGTCATGATCGGGAGATAGAAACAAGATGTCATGATCGGAAGATAGAAACAAGATGTCATGATCGGGAGATAGAAACAAGATGTCATGATCGGGAGATAGAAACAAGATGTCATGATCGGGAGATAGAAACAAGATGTCATGATCGGGAGATAGAAACAAGATGTCATGATCGGGAGATAGAAACAAGATGTCATGTTCGGGAGATAGAAACAAGATGTCATGATCTGGAGACAGAAACAAGATGTCATGATCGGGAGATAGAAACAATATGTCATGATCGGGAGACAGAAACAATATGTCATGATCGGGAGACAGAAACAATATGTCATGATCGGGAGATAGAAACAAGATGTCATGATCGGAAGACAGAAACAAGATGCCATCGAGCCAGTGCACTTATAGTCCAACTGATGCCGTTATTAAGACATCCAAAAATAAGTATGAGTGCCCAGAAACAGATTCATATACTTTCATACCAACAATGTGCTACCAGTGCCAAAGATGGATATTATTAAAGGCTAACCCAAGTAAAATTAACACCTGTGAAATGAGATGCCTGGGGAAAGTGGGGGGAACTATAACAAGGTCCCTTTTCCACGCCTTTATGTGTGCAGGGCATATAAGGCTAGACCTATATTTTTATAGACCAATCGGCACAAGATGGGTAATGTGATCAGCAAGACGCCGGCCGCCTTTACTTCCGGGGACTGCACCCAGTACCCCTTCAAGGCTGGGTCGACCTGACGGTCAAGGCCATTTTTGAAAAAAAAGTCAGGCTCCGCCAGGGAGCGAACCCACGACCTTCCGATCCGCACGCGAGTGTCTAGCCGCTACGCCACGGCAACTCCCGCCTGAGGAAAACCGGAAACTTAACCATCCGAGAAAAGTTAGAAATTATATTATCTGACAGACTGACACAAGATCAAATGAATGATTTGGCCATTAAGTGATAAAGCAGCCAGAACAAATGCCAATGTA